TAGGCATGATATGACACAATAAAAATATTTTCTTTAAAGTATAGATAGATAGTAAATAATAAAAAGATATATGTTTATATTTGAAAATGTGTTATAACAAATTAGTGTAAACAATTAACTAGAATTACACATCTTCATAGTTATTTTATAATATAGATATAAAAAGAAGGGGAGGAATCAGTATAAAAAGCAAATAGTCGAAATAGATAAGATAAGAAAAAATAAATTGTACCTAGGTACACCGTAAATATTATTTTTATTGAAAGAATGGTATATGTAATGGAATTCATATACTTGATAGGTAACAAAATTGGTTGTTTGGAATATATTGTTATTAGAAAAATCTAAAGGTTCAAACACAGTTATTATGATAAACAAATAAAGTTGAAAATTGTACATTGCGTCAAAATAAAATAAAAGCATATGTTTTATAAGGATTTCTATAACTATATACTGGATCTGAGACCTACAAATTTTTGGCTATCATCTCTCCCTCCCCCCCCCCCAAGTATTGGCTAGATAAAATTTGACATTCATAGAGTTCCTGTTCGAAAGATTTGGTCGAGTATTAAAAAGTAAAAACTGGTTAACCCAGTGAGATATTGCGTGGATCGTGTTGCGAAAAAGGTAAAACGTTCGCAATCGCCAATCGTGTACCACAGATTAAAAACGTTGACTCTAAAAACCACACACTTATGATAAAACACAAGGCAAAACCGCACACTTTTGGTAGGTTAAAACCGCTGTATCCCAAAACCACACATTTTATAATGGTGTATAAATTATAAATTATTATTTATATTATATTTATCCAAAAAATATTTTTTAGGTACAGTTTAAATATTGAAAAATTTTAAATATAAAATAAAATTAACTTATTTAACTGGCTGAAATTGATTGTCGACGTTTTTCCAAAAAAAATAAAAAATTAGTTAAAAAAAAAAAATGTTTTTATATTTATTGGTTGAAATCGGTTCCTGAGGTTTTTTAGAAATTTCAATCGATCTTAAAGTCCTTTAAAAAAATCTTCCCAACATTTAAACAAGCGTTCCTAAAAATAAACCCAATTTAATTAAAAATGATAAAAATACAAACCAATATGTATATTATATATTCGTGTGTATTTTTACTCCTCTAGAAAAGTCTTATACAAGGTGATCCTTTATCATAAACCACTTTATATCTCATAGGGTTTAATAAAAAATACAATTTTTTTTTTTTATATTGTGATTATACAACTTAGTATTTTTGATAGCCATTTTTGAAACTTAAACGGTAACGTATTTATCTTATTAACTTTTTAAATTGAGAATAATGTACTAAAAGTGTTGACTGGTCGGTAACCAGCTTCGGTTAAATGTTTGGATATTAAGATGGATTATACAAACATTGTGATATCACATAAAAAAAAAACCTAATTTTTTTTATATGCAGGGTGATTCTTTTATCATGAACCAGTCAATATCTCACTTGGTTTTTTTTACCCCCCTCTCAACTAAGTTTTTTGATAGCAACTTTTGAAACTTAAACGGTAAAGTATATATTTTATTAACTTTTTAAACTTATAAAGTTAAAAGAGTTTAAAAGTTAGGATGGGAGGTGAAGTGCGGTTGGGAAATGCGCGCAGATAAAAATAAAAATACAATCCACCTTTCTTTCTGCCCTAAACTCGAAACTTTTATAACTTCAAAAATTATTATTCGAAACTCGTTATCGACCTATCCCAATTTTTAGTACATTATTCACAATTTAAAAAGTTAATAAAATATATACGTTAATCTTCTATCCCTATCTCCTACCCCTATCTTCCACCCCAATCCCATCTCCGTGTGGTAACGCTTTTCGTGACGCTTTTTTCGGTTGTGCCAGAGCTAAGACATGAAAATGTCAAAACGAAAAAAATTTTGAAAAATTGCGATCACATTGTAAAAAAAAAAAATTTTAATTTTTATTGTATTCTATGAGATATTGAGTGGTTCATGATAAAAAAATCACCCTGTATTCCATCAAACCAAAAAAAATTCCGAAATACGGTTCACTCACGCTGAGCGTCTCGCAACAGCTTTTATTTTAAAATTATTATTAATAGCCGCTGCATCAAGGGCTGTTGGATGAATTTTGGCTCATAAATTATTATATTCATAAAACTTATTAATTTTCTTGACTTTTTTATGAAAAGAACAGAGTATGATTTTTGGATGAAAATCTAAATATCATATTAGGTTTTCAAAATATTGCATAGAAACTATGCTATTACGGTCTTATGAAAGTCATATTTTTTCAACATAAAATATCAATTCAAGAAATATGTGTTTAGTTTATAATCAAACTTGAAAAAGTTTTTTATGAGATAATTTTTGTAAATATTATGGGATGAATCACAAAAACATATGATTCGGTTTTCAGCTTTGATTCGGAGCCATATAGAATAAAAAAATTCGGAGCGTAAAATGTAGGTATTAGTTTTATAATGATTTACTTTATTTTATTTATATGTACTTTTTTGTACTAACTTGAAATTACAAAGTTTGACTAATCACGTAAAGTGTGAGCTAGTATCATAATATATTGCCCTACCATAATATATCAAAGTCATCTTGATAAACTTGACGTTAAAATAATTATAGCAAACACCTTTATATGTCTAATTATTAAAATCTCATGTATTCATCAACATGTATTTGTCATTTGTGTACATTGCAGCAGTCATTGTAGAAAATATTGTATTTAGTACGAAAAAACAAAATATGAAAACAACTTGTTTTTGCCAAAGACCAATACAAATTTGAAATTTTAGATACCAGCAGACACTTATCATTTGTTTACTTTGCAAGAGTTGTTGTGAAATAGTGGAATACATAATATTTTGATTTAAGTCTAATAAGCTCTATGTAATAGCTTTATGAAGCTAAACTTATTCTAGGGAAAACAATATTAATATGTAATATTATTAAGCTTTTTTACAAACCTATGTATTCGTACATGAGTGTTCTACATATTTTTTTAGTTTAATATGACAACATGTTATAATTGAACATTAAACGCGCACAATATTTTCAACTATAAGGTCTTAAAATTATGTCCAAAAACAAAAAAATGTCTATCACCCGAGAGGGGGGGGGGAATGCTGAGGATAAAGTATAATTAAAAATTGAGACTACTAATGTGGGAGCACGGCATGATGATGTGTGACTTTTTTGAGCGTATTTAGAAACTTAAGAATTCAAAAATCGATCTATAAGGCAGTCACTATATGATATATATAATATATCATATATATTTATTATTGCTTATTAGAAAAAAACAAGTTGTTTTATGTTCAGTTTTGTCGTTTGTGTATTTAAGTATTTAAACCATTTTTCTAAAATCACTGTGGCAATGTAAAAAAAATGAAAAATCTTTAAAATTTACCACATTGAACATAGTTTAATTTTTAGAGTTTATATTTTTACAATTATTTTAAAATAGCTAAATATTATTACATAATATTAATATTGTTTCCCCTGAATAAATTTAGCTACATAAAGCTACTACATGGAGCTTATTAGACTTAAATCGAAATATTATGTAGGTATTCTACTATTTTACAACGGCTGTTGTAATGTAAACAAATGATAAACGTCTGTTGGTATCTAAGATTTCAAATTTGTATTGTTCTGTAGCAAAAACCAGTTGTTTTCATATTTCGTTTTTTTTGCACTAAATACAATACTTTTTACAATGACTGCTACAATGTAAACAAATGACAAATATTTTATACCATTCTGAATAGATGTACATAAACATGTTGTAATGATTTCATAAATATTTTTAAGATTTTAGGTGTACCTATATGTTAAAATATACGAAATTAGGTACCTACACCTAAAATCTTAAAAAAATGTTTGAAATCATTATAACATGTTTATGTACATCTATTCAGAATGGTATAACATATTTATCATTTGTTTACTTTACAACAGTTGTTGTGAAATAGTCGAATACATACAATTTTGTTACACTCCAAAAAGCTTTTATAGCTTAAACTATTCAGGGAGGAAACCAAATTACTTTGTAATTAAAAAAATGTGTAAAGAATAATCTTGTTACACACGTATATCTTGTTTTCTAGTTGACTAAACAGAACATTTAACTATAATTAAAAGAATCTAAATGTTTTTTTGAATACCTTCAGTTTAATTATTTATATTTTAAGTATAGTATATTAATACAACTTGTGTTTTACAAAGCTAACATTACTGTACACTCAATACATTATTGTACAATACTACAAAATAACAGTTAGAATCGTCCTATTTTACCTTTACAAGTAGTCATATTTGTATAATAAAAAAAGTACATAGTTTTACATTGCAATTTGTAGAATAAATTGCCTACGCGCAAAATCTACATAAAAAATCACAAATTATATGATTTGTTTTTTACCAAAAACAAGTTGTTTTTGTAAAGGTAAAGTACTAAGTACATTTTCCCTTGTTTTTTGAGTTATTAAATGAAGTTAACATTTAAAACCATTAAATCCTGGTACAAGGGAAAGGGTGATAATCACTTTGAGTCAAAATAAAAATTATAACTTATCTTTTTGAAGGATTTCTATAACTATAAACTGGATCTGAGGCCCACAAATTTCTGGCTAGAATTTATCATATATATTATAATATGTCTGTTATATAAACCTATCTACGAATAAAGAAAATATTCACCGAATAAGTAAATTTGTATTTAATTATCTAATCTATTCCAACTATTTGTTTTTACTATAATTGGTATAATTTTCGATATTAATAAAATACGAGTATAAATATTATCAACAAAAACATGTGTTCTTCGTAGCGCTATTGTGGTTTATTTTAACAAGTAGGGTTTACCACCATTACCAAGCCTTCGTATGGGTTTTTTAAGTATATATGTTTAACCAATCTATCTACACAATTGTTAAGAACAAATAAAGAACCAAATAAAATAGTTGTAGAATTAACATGAACTGTAGTCACGTACTCTAGTATAGCGTGGCACTTCCTTGGCGTTTCACTTCGACTTTAAATCCGAAAATTTATATTTCGTTTGGTGTTTTAATTTCTTTAAGATTTTTTTAAATATGAAGTTTAATAGCATAGTTTTGCTTCTAACAGCCGCACTGTTCATTATCCTGGCAGTGTCTACAGGTACATAAAAAAAACAATTAGTATAAAAATGTTATAGTAATAATAAAAAAATTAAACTAAGCGTCAAGTTTCGATGTCTTAGTTTTTTTTAGTAACCTGATGATTTTTTTAAGAAAAAAAAATTTAATTTAAAACTTTTTATTTATTTATTAATTAATTTTCATATTATAAAAATCTATTTTCTATTTTTTAGGTGTTGAAGGAAGTAAGTTCACGCATTAAATTATATGCATTATATAATTATATTATTTAAAAATATTGCATTAAGATAAAAAAAAAAAAATATATTAAAGTTTTTTTTTCAAAATTTCAGAGGATACGCCAAAACCTGGCGTATCCTCAAAGTCTTCGAGACTTTGATATAGCTTATATAATTGATTAAAGCGAAATTTAATATTAATTTTTAATTTTTTTGTTATTCAAATGACTGTAAGTTCTTTTCTTCAAAATTTTAGATATCCCGACCCCACCAGATGGTGCTGGTAAGTGATTGAGTTATTTGTAATAACTTATATAAGCTATAAAAGTGAAATCTAGCATATATTTGTATTAAACGGGTTTCAAATGACTGTAAGTCAAGCTGATTGTACAATTGTTTTCGATAAAGCTTAAAATGAGTATGAAATGTTACAAAAGGGTTATAAAAGGAATTTTTTCGATATTTCGAATGACCAGCAAACAGGGAGTGAGTCTTTTTAATTTGTTTTTATTAAAGCTTATTAAGTGTTTAAAATGCTATAAATGCATTAACTAATTTCCCACAAAAGATGTATTTATTTTATGGTGCGCGTACGCACCATTGGCCAAAAATGTGTTTAACTATTGAATATAAGAATAACTCTACCATGTTTATTGGCAATATAACACAATTAGTTAATGCATAGCTAACAAAGTTAAATGATTTAAATGTACGGTTCAAAATGATAAAATAGAAAAAACAAGTATTTGATTTATTTTTTGATGTTTCAGATTCACCATTAGATTTACCACCAGAACCAATTGAACTACAACAAGCTGGTATGTTTTTGAGACTTAAATTAAATTTATATAGGTTATAAAATAGGAAAAACAAGTATTTGATTTTTTTTATGTTTCAGTTACACAGCCACCAGCACAACCACGACCACACGCACCTCCACCAATACGAATACCAGCAGAACCACAATTAATTCCTTCGGATGGTAAGTTTTTGAGACTTAAATAAAATATATATAGGTTATAAAATAGGAAAAACGAGTATTTGATTTATTTATTGATGTTTTAGATCAGCTACCTCCACCAATACAAAGACCAGCAGAACCACCCTACGCAGCCTGGTAGGTTTTTACTACCACAGGCTGGTTGGCTTTTGAGACTTAAATAAAATGAATATAGGTTATAAAATAGGAAAAACAAGTATTTGATTTATTTTTTGATGTTTCAGATCCAGATCCAGGACTACAAACTCCACCTGGCAGGTATAAAAATGAACTTATTTAAAGTGAACCATTTTCATTTTTTTCATAATAATTAAAACAATTGATACCGGTAGAAGTAAATCCTAAGATTACTAGTGAGACTACTATTAGAATACTTAATAATTTATACTGGTAGCCTAACACTTAGTTTTAATTAAAATGTATGTATAAGCAAATTATAAAAAAAACGACTTTTTTTCACAATTATTTAATTTTTTTTTTTCAGCCCTCGTAACAACGATTAAACTTTACAACAAAGCTACAATATCTAAGATCCGTGTCGCATTCTGAAAAAAATATGCTTACTAAGTTGTGTATATTTTAAAATTTTCATTTTTGATCATCATAATAAACACAATAATTATTATTGTGTTTGAAACTATAGTGTTTTTTCCAATAACAATATAATATTCCAAATAAAGCATTTTGTTACTTTATCATATAAATTACATTATGTGTACCTATCTACCAATAAAATAATGTTCACCGAATAAGAAAACGTCTTGTATTTTATTATCTAGTCTATTCCAACCATTTGTTTTTACAGCTGCTTTGAATTTTTACAATAACATTTTTAATGTAGAAATATACCTACCTAAAAATCCATTAAAAAATAATTCAATGTATTAAAACAACTGTGCACTTAGCCCTTGAACAATACGCCTCTTTAGTGAAATCGGTAAACTTATGAAGTATTATTTTATGTTAGTCTGTAAGCATATGAAAAAATCTAAAAAATACAATTCGATAAATCCGTACAATGTTTTGCCATTTTATCGACTTGCCTACAATTACAAAATAAATGGGACAAAAAAAAACAACTTTTCAAGATTTTAGGTGTTTTTGTTAAAATATACGCAATTTGCGAAATTACAGCTTTCCGGCAATTATAAAATAAACTGTAGTGCCGAATTTGTTTTCCGTTTAATATGTTATGAACACATATGAGTTCTACCAAATACCACGGGCATACCAAATAAATATTCTTAATAAATTTCAACTCGATCCGGCTTTTTTTCTCGAAATTATAGCCAGTAAAAGTTCTAACTTAAAAACTCATACGGTTTTATTTTTGTTTTTTCAAATTTCGACTGTGAAGAAGTAAACTTTTTCAACTTTTATCCTCCTCCCCCCCCCTCAAAGTACCAACAAGATGAAATTTGTGATTTATAGAGTTGCTACTCGAAAGAATTGATCCAGTATTAAAAAAGTTACAGTGTATACAAATAAAAAAAAAAACACATTTGAGTAAAACCAATACCTTCGCTGCTCTGCATTGAAGCTAAAAGGTATCTAACTCTTCTAGGGGAAATTAGTTAGTTAGTTATAATGATATACCTGTGTCTTATTATTATGCTAAGAACAACCAACAAGTTTGAAACGATAAAGTCGTTTTTTTCAAAAATCATAATTGTAAGTTGGATAAATACCAATTTTGAATTCATATTTTAGATCATATTTATCTAATTCTCGATTTATTTTTGAACAATTTATGACATATCTTTGTGGCTGAAGAATTACCATCGCTTTGGCTTTTATCATTTGTTGGTCTCACTCATCATATTATATCACCATTTTTTCCTTTATTTATGTATACAGTAAAAAAAATTCTGATTCTGTTTAACTGGATTACTCGTGTAACAACATTTTCATACACCGTATAGCAACATAAACATGTACGAGTACATACAGTCATGGTTTATTTACATTGGTAAATAAAATATTTTAGCTAGATATTTAAAAAAAAAAAATATGATTAAAAAACATTTGTGCAGGTGCGTACCAGAGTGATATAAGCCTGCAGTGTATCAACGCAGGGTCGCTGGTTCGAATCTCGGCCACTTGCGGTTTGTTCATCTAGGTGGGCAACTGTCTGGGGGAAGAAATGGCCACCTGAACCTCCCTTTAATGGCGAACTTGTTTGGTAACGTTAGGTCGGTAGGCAGTTATAAGCCCAAAAATGCCAAATCAAAACGGTCTAAGACCTGATCGGTGGGAATAACGGACGTTAAACGTAAAAGAGGGATTTAAAACATTTATATTGAATATTATGATGTATCTCAATCATTAGACCGTATACCAACATAAATATGTATTGCAAACCTTCTTTCCCACATTTTTGCCCTTTACATTGGTAAACAAAAAAAATTAGCCACAGATTTTTAAGAAAATTAAATATGATTAAAAATTGAATATAATCAATATTATGATGTTTTCTATATCAAGTTATATCTATATTCCTATACCTAATTATTATCATGCATAACTCACAAGTTCAAAATAAGTAGTTTATATTTAGTATACAATTTACATATGTCTGGAAATAATCATCTAGATATCATCCTTTTATATATATCAAATTCTCGAGTCACGATGCTTGTTAGCGATGAACTCCGAAACTACTTACTGATCTTGATGACATTTATACACTGTGTGTAGTTTGGTCCAATTTGAGATATTGGATAGATTAGATAGGAATCTTTTAAATCAATAGACACTATTGTTGTAGTAAACGAAACCGTACATTTTCCAACTAAATTTTTAAATTCTCTGGATATACCAGGAATGCCACCATCACACACTCTTCGGTTAAAAATTAGTTCACCGATTATTCTTCTGCGTGATTTAAATCCACCTAGATTATGCACGGTATACGTATGGTCATTAAAAATATCACCGGAAATGTTCTTGAAGCAAAGGAGAAATTGGCCTGTTGCCATGAATTCGAATGATATCGTCGGAATCTCCAATACCACTCAAAAGACTTTAATTTCCTATTGGTTTGGCTTTCGCGATGACCATAAATAAGTTTCAGGGAAAAACAATGTCCATTTGCGGCTTGGACTTTAAAAAACTATATGTTGCATGCTCTCGTATGGGGAAACCATCGAATCTGTTTCAAAAGACAGATTAACTAAAAATGTTGTGCACTGATTAGCGCTAAATTAAGTGGGAATAACGGACGTTAAACGTAAAAGAGGGATTTAAAACATTTATATTGAATATTATGATGTATCTCAATCATTAGACCGTATACCAACATAAATATGTATTGCAAACCTTTTTTCCCACATTTTTGCCCTTTACATTGGTAAACAAAAAAAATTAGCCACAGATTTTTAAGAAAATTAAATATGATTAAAAATTGAATATAATCAATATTATGATGTTTTCTATATCAAGTTATATCTATATTCCTATACCTAATTATTATCATGCATAACTCACAAGTTCAAAATAAGTAGTTTATATTTAGTATACAATTTACATATGTCTGGAAATAATCATCTAGATATCATCCTTTTATATATATCAAATTCTCGAGTCACGATGCTTGTTAGCGATGAACTCCGAAACTACTTACTGATCTTGATGACATTTATACACTGTGTGTAGTTTGGTCCAACTTGAGATATTGGATAGATTAGATAGGAATCTTTTAAATCAATAGACACTATTGTTGTAGTAAACGAAACCGTACATTTTCCAACTAAATTTTTAAATTCTCTGGATATACCAGGAATGCCACCATCACACACTCTTCGGTTAAAAATTAGTTCACCGATTATTCTTCTGCGTGATTTAAATCCACCTAGATTATGCACGGTATACGTATGGTCATTAAAAATATCACCGGAAATGTTCTTGAAGCAAAGGAGAAATTGGCCTGTTGCCATGAATTCGAATGATATCGTCGGAATCTCCAATACCACTCAAAAGACTTTAATTTCCTATTGGTTTGGCTTTCGCGATGACCATAAATAAGTTTCAGGGAAAAACAATGTCCATTTGCGGCTTGGACTTTAAAAAACTATATGTTGCATGCTCTCGTATGGGGAAACCATCGAATCTGTTTCAAAAGACAGATTAACTAAAAATGTTGTGCACTGATTAGCGCTAAATTAAGTGGGAATAACGGACGTTAAACGTAAAAGAGGGATTTAAAACATTTATATTGAATATTATGATGTATCTCAATCATTAGACCGTATACCAACATAAATATGTATTGCAAACCTTTTTTCCCACATTTTTGCCCTTTACATTGGTAAACAAAAAAAATTAGCCACAGATTTTTAAGAAAATTAAATATGATTATAAATTGAATATAATCAATATTATGATGTTTTCTATATCAAGTTATATCTATATTCCTATACCTAATTATTATCATGCATAACTCACAAGTTCAAAATAAGTAGTTTATATTTAGTATACAATTTACATATGTCTGGAAATAATCATCTAGATATCATCCTTTTATATATATCAAATTCTCGAGTCACGATGCTTGTTAGCGATGAACTCCGAAACTACTTACTGATCTTGATGACATTTTTACACTGTGTGTAGTTTGGTCCAACTTGAGATATTGGATAGATTAGATAGGAATCTTTTAAATCAATAGACACTATTGTTGTAGTAAACGAAACCGTACATTTTCCAACTAAATTTTTAAATTCTCTGGATATACCAGGAATGCCACCATCACACACTCTTCGGTTAAAAATTAGTTCACCGATTATTCTTCTGCGTGATTTAAATCCACCTAGATTATGCACGGTATACGTATGGTCATTAAAAATATCACCGGAAATGTTCTTGAAGCAAAGGAGAAATTGGCCTGTTGCCATGAATTCGAATGATATCGTCGGAATCTCCAATACCACTCAAAAGACTTTAATTTCCTATTGGTTTGGCTTTCGCGATGACCATAAATAAGTTTCAGGGAAAAACAATGTCCATTTGCGGCTTGGACTTTAAAAAACTATATGTTGCATGCTCTCGTATGGGGAAACCATCGAATCTGTTTCAAAAGACAGATTAACTAAAAATGTTGTGCACTGATTAGCGCTAAATTAAGTGGGAATAACGGACGTTAAACGTAAAAGAGGGATTTAAAACATTTATATTGAATATTATGATGTATCTCAATCATTAGACCGTATACCAACATAAATATGTATTGCAAACCTTTTTTCCCACATTTTTGCCCTTTACATTGGTAAACAAAAAAAATTAGCCACAGATTTTTAAGAAAATTAAATATGATTATAAATTGAATATAATCAATATTATGATGTTTTCTATATCAAGTTATATCTATATTCCTATACCTAATTATTATCATGCATAACTCACAAGTTCAAAATAAGTAGTTTATATTTAGTATACAATTTACATATGTCTGGAAATAATCATCTAGATATCATCCTTTTATATATATCAAATTCTCGAGTCACGATGCTTGTTAGCGATGAACTCCGAAACTACTTACTGATCTTGATGACATTTTTACACTGTGTGTAGTTTGGTCCAACTTGAGATATTGGATAGATTAGATAGGAATCTTTTAAATCAATAGACACTATTGTTGTAGTAAACGAAACCGTACATTTTCCAACTAAATTTTTAAATTCTCTGGATATACCAGGAATGCCACCATCACACACTCTTCGGTTAAAAATTAGTTCACCGATTA